ACATTGTAGTTTTGTTTAAAACCATCCTTACTACTGCGATACAAAAATTTGAATTTATACTTGATTTCCCTGAATGAAGTGTGTGAATCCAAAAAATTTTTTTCTACAGTTAAATAGTTTGTAAATCGTCAAAATAATAATATATTTACTCATTCTGTTTGTGTTCTTATAATTCATATAGCAATATAACAAATTTCAGATTCTTATTTACCTTTAGTTATATATATAATTAACAAACTAATAATAAAAGGCTCATCCAGTTGTCATTCACTTCATGACCAAATCGTACAACGTTTTTTCCATGACGGGGTCAAGAACGTCTGCATGTATCACGATCAACTTTACTGTCCTTTTTCCGTGTAGGCAAAACCGTGTGTGTGTATCGTTCCGCAGTTTTTAAATTCATCATGTTTGAATTAAAATGCAAATATTAAAGTTATCTATAAAATCCCAAATGATCCAATTATTTGTCTGTTCATCCTGTTTTGTTTGTGTTGCTTATAATTAAATAGCTATATCATTGAAGAATAGAAAATACTCATTTCACGTTAGAAAATATATATATAATAAATTTCAGCATTAAAATAAATTATTAATTTACCTTTACAATTTATCATAGTAAAAACTCCTCCGATTGTTAATGATTTCAAATTTTGGTTTGTAAAAAAAAAATCTTTTTAGCACTTTTTTTTACTCGTATCAGATCCTCACAACTTATAGTGAGCGTTGCTTATTGGTTTAAAAAAAAACAATACAATTTTGTCACACAAAATTCAAAATATCACATTTTTTATTACTCCTGTATGCTTTTACAACACAAAGGACGTCCTCAGAAATTAAGATATTAAGATTTGGTTTGGTTTGATTTGATTAAGAAGGTTAATATTAATATCCTCAAAAATTAAATATTTAATTGTACAACCTTGAAAAATTTTGAAATGTAAATTTGTATCTGTTTCAAATATTTCAAATATTTTGGATATTTGTAATTATTTTGGACATTCATAATTATTTGAGATATTTGTATTTATTTTGAATATTCATAATCATTACATTACAAATATTCATAATATTTGAAAATTGAAATTTTTGGATTTAAAATATTCAAATAAGGTAGGATTACAGTTAGGAATCCTACTCTGCAAAAAAACATGTTATTACTAGAAAGTCTATGCACTAATTTATAACTCATCTCAGCTGGTAGAATACAATTGATTGAGTTATTCTATTGTCACTTCTTCCTGGACTTGGTAATCCATGAACTTCTGCATAATTTTCAGGAAAGTTTTTTACTATAGCAATATTTTTATCAATTGCCATTTTCTAGAAAATCCTTTACTACTTCTGCAACATTTTTTACCAATTACCATTTTAGTTTTCCATTGAGTCATTCTTTTAATATTACCATGAATTCTTGGTAAAAGACCATTGTTTATCAGGTGACTTCTGATATTTTCAAAGTAAGTCCCACCAATTCCCAACATGTTGAGATAAGTTTCTTGACAAAAAGGTGTATTGTGATCCCAGTGATAGAAAGTTCTTTTATTAGATCTAATTTTCTTTTTAAGGCTTGCTAATCCACCATCCATTGCCTTAAGTTGGGCCATTAAAAATATGTCTTGTTCAGACTTGTAAAGAGCTTGAAAGGATTCCCTTAATTCTGCAAATTGTTTCTTGGGAATCCTTGAAGAACAACCACAATTACAACCTTGTTCTAAAAAATCAATTGCTTCTTGATATTCATTATAACCATTATATTTATTATTACTTTTCATATATACTTATCCCTATATATAATTTATAATTTTATGTTCACTTTGTAGTTTTTTATAATTGTTTTAAAATTGAAGGAAAGTATATGAATGGAATTAAGCTTGGATGAATCAATGGAATAGAATAGTTTTAGGTAAATGATTTAAAAGATATGATTGTTCAATAACTTGTGAAGAGAAATTGGAAAATTTGGTCAACCTCCCCATGAAAAATAATTATTGCCTAGATTTAAGTTGGCTTATCATCATTAATAATCAAAATGAGGAAAGACAATTTAAAAAGCAAACAATAAATGAAATAATAACAATTTAATAAAAAATTGACTATCTTTACCAATGAATTTTTCCACACATTGTTGATCATAAACAGAAAATGTTATTATTGCTTTAACAAATCATGTGTAGTGGTTTATATTTTGTTTACTTTTTATAGATGTAAAATTTACTTAGTTTATTTTGAGATAATCAATTAAATATCTACTGAATAGATTATAACAATAAGATTAATTATAGTTTATTTATATTTTTATTATTTAATTAATTGTTAATATATATTTATCACGAAATTCTTCATTGAATAAATAAAAAGAAAAAATAGATTAACAATTAATCATAAGACTTATTTTCCTTCAAAGTATTTTTGCTTTTTATTAGATAATAATGCACCTTCATTTTGCTTTCTTTTTCTGACATTATTATTTTTCTTTCTTCTTGGTAGATTTCATAAGTAATCCTTTCTTTCCTCAGGTAAGATTCCAGTGTCTGAGTATCATTTATTTGAAAATATAAAGGAACAATTTTTTCTCTTTGCTCTTCTTTTAATTACTTCTGATTATACTATAATTCTTGGGTTCCATGGTAGATTTGATGTAAATTAATTTCATATTAACTATTTTTATATAGGGGTAATTCTATATATCACTTAAGATAGAGAGACATTATAAAACTGATCACACTAAAATCATACTAAATTTTGATCCCTGTAATACCAATGTTCACTTTGTCTGGTTATGTTGATCTTGTTTACCCTTTCAATTTGTTTGTGGTAATTACAGCAGAGAGCACTTATGTCCTCTACTGTCTTCATAAGCAGTTACATCTCAATCAAGCATTACTTTGCATTGAAGGCAGAAAATTGTTATTCTATCTCATATTTCACTACCTTTGGTGTTAAAACTTCTTATCTTAAAAGGTCAATCAAACTCTTCTTTTCTTTTACACTTTTCTAAGGCTTCTTTAAAAATCTTTTTTTATTCCTTTCTCAATCAGCAATATTATTATCTAATCCTTGTTGCAACAAAGTTTCATCACATCCTCAACAACAAAATTTAATGATTTCTCTTCCTTCTTCATCTCATCAATTAATTGTTAAACCATCTTTTATATTAAAACATTGTTTGATAATAGCAGGATAATAAGTTTTTTTCTTGTGTTGTTTTTAATGTAGTTTTAACAAAAAAATCAAGTCAGTACTCAATCATGAAAGAGGACTCTTGAAATTATGGTTGGAGTGGAACATTATTGTTGGCTTCAGAAATATCACCAAGAAAGATAAAAATAGACAGTAAGTTTGTTTGTATTAGATTTTTTTGCCCAGAGATTTCTGTCTTTTGTTTTATAATTGGTGCATTCTCATACTGCTTTCTTTTCTTAATTATTTTTCTTTCTTCTTGGTAAATTTCACAAGTAATCCATTCTTTTCTTAGATAAGTTTCCAATGCCCGAGTATCATTTATTTTGAAAATATAAGGAGCAATTTTTTCACTATAATTCTTTGAGACCTAATTTCGTATTAACTATTTTTGTCTAGACAAATATCATGATAATACAACGGTGATGTTAAATACTATTGATCCCTGAAATTCTTGGTAATACCAATGTTCACTTTGTCTGGTATGCCCCATTTTTACTTGATAAGCAAATACGATTGGAATAATAAAATTTTTGCATGTCACTTTATTCAATTATAATTATTTTTGATGATCTGCAAGTGTCCTTATATTTTTGACCAGGAGTGTGTATCTATTATTATAAGGATTATATACTAAGGATACCGGCTGCAACTTTTGATGATGGTTGCTACCATCTTTGCGTCATATAAAAATGATTTCAACCACTGGTTACAACCACCTTTACGACCATTTTGTTTCATTTTTTGGATTTCGACATGGAACACTATTATATACAACTGTTGAGAAAATCAGACCATGTTTGCTTTAGCACAATAATGAGATACAAGACTTCAAAAACACGTGAACATAATTTTGCAGGGACCATTACTCAAAAAAATTTATAATGTTCCTAGTATTAATACTAACCACATTTTGTCAAGACTCGCACATTCAAAAAAAAATTTAAGAATTTTTGTTGTGTAACAGTACAAATTTAGAAACTATCTCCGGAAACTTGAAATTTGATTGGATAATAATGTTACATCCGCGAATTCCGCGTATTGAAACTTCAACACCAAAGCTGCTGATATATCGTTATAAGCAATTAATGATTATCGCCGTTCATAATAAATTATTAATGTGCAAGTCAACAAGAGCCAATAACTTTAGCATCTAAAAACAAGCACGTGAATAAAATTTCAATAATATAATAATAATAATAATAATAATAATAATAATAATAATAATAATAATAATAATAAGACAACGAACGTAATAGTAAATCGAAAGTCTAACCTCGTCCAATCCATCAGTTATTTGCCTGATATTTTGATTATAATCATCTACGATCATTACCACCGTAACGGTGAGGTACTTTGGCGTTTTAATGATCATATCCTACTACATTATTGATATGTACGAATCATTTTAATTCTGTTACATATTAATAATTATATAGGTCCTTTCCTTTTTTTGATTAAGAAATATAATAATTACAACAATAATGAATGTTTTTCTTGTGGGTTACGAACCGTTTCTATTTTCGGAGAAAATAGATATTGTGTCTGTATTTGTGCCAAGGCATTTGTTGGACGAATTTGTTAGTTTTGGGACAAGCACAAGAAATATGACGATCTTTGTTGAAAAGAGTAATAGGTTTATTACAAAAAAAATTAATTATTTCTCTTCACAGTTAATTTCATTAATTTAAATCTTCTTTTTATTAAAAGAAAGAATATATTATACATATTATTTACCAAAATTATAATAAAAAAAGATTAAAATAGGAAAAAATACATCATATTGGTTATAGGTTTTAAAAAAATATATCTTTGTAATGACAAAATTTACAAATGACTATATAGTATTACTAAGTTTCATAATAATATGTTACGTCAGGATAATATCGATCAAAGCTCAGAGCCCTATAACTATCCAGTTATTTGATTCAATAATATCAAACGCAACTATAAAATCTGGACAAACAATTCATTACATGTATAATGTTAGTCAAGCAGGAAATGTACTGCTAAGGAACATTAGGAGAGATATATCAACAGAAAAGACATCATTGGAAACCGATAATTCACAAATTGTAAAAAATAATCTGATAACAAATAACATATTTATAACGTTGACAATTTGTAAACAACCGCTTTCAGCTGAAAATAACACAATACCGGAAACATTACAAATATTTTATTCTAATTACTCGGTACCAAGTGCAGACGATAGTAATAGCAACCCAATTAATTGGGATTATGGGTTTGCATCAAAAAATTTAACAAATTATGAGGAAAATGTGCTATACATAGGAGTTTTTGCTCCTACATTTAACGCGGAATTTGCAGGGGATTATAATTTTCAAATTGGAGTCTCATCAAAAGGTAATGTTTTAAAAAGTTTATTATATTAATATTTAAATTTTTGATATTTATTCTATATTATATGCTAACATATAAAAAAACAACAACAAAACAGTTCCTTTGCATTACTATCCACAAGATAATGGTTTTTTTTTGGAAGATACTGATAATTCAACCGCCTTATTTGCAAGCGTTGAAACTTTTAGTGATACCAATTTTGATACAAGTAGTTATAAATTATATTACGTTGAAGAGCCACCGCTAAAAGGAATCACAAAATCATTATGTGCATATCAATCTGCTCCACAAAATACCACCGCCGCTGTTATCAACTTTACGTCAAGGGGCAGCTCAGGGACAAATAAAAGAATGTCATTACAATTGAATAACATAGCTAATGGGACAAATTATGTTGCTTTTGTGACACAGCAGCAGAATCAAAATTTATTGAGATCTTGGAATCCTATATCATTCAGAACCAAACCACGTAAGTTTTTTTTTCTCTTTTTCTTTTTTTTTTTTTTTAAAAAAGTAATTGTATATTAATTTTTATTTTTTATATTCATATTTTATAATTAAATAGAAAATAATTGTAAATTGATTAGCGGACTTGGATTTTGTGATAAAGTCGCATATGCAGTGCCGGCAAATCCGGGTATTCCGGTAGACCGTATAACGAAATTTTACGACGAGCTTTCAACTAAATATTACAAAAATTTTACAAACGCACTAGATTTATTTCCATGTGATAATTCAAATTATTCATTAGTTAAAAATTGTAGTGATTGTAGTGAAGCTTATAAAGACTGGATATGCGCAGTAACAATTCCACGTTGTGCTGACATAGAATTAGCAACAAGAATTATCAGAAACGTTAATGACAGCCGTGTAAGTGAAATAGATGAGACGATGAGACCTGGTCCTTATATAGAGACACCGCCTTGTGTTGATTTATGTTATAATGTGTCAAGATCATGTCCTCCAATTTTTAATTTTAAATGCCCGTTGTTACCTAACATAGCAAATTCAAGTTATGGATATATGGATTTAAACTCGTTAAACTTGAATCCAAATCAAAATTTATTGTGCAATCCGATGCAAAATTTCCCGTATGTCCAACAAAGTATGGCAACGAGACTAAACAGTGGTCACTTAATGACAACAACATTTTGGAATAGTATAATTTTTGGATTTATATATATAATTTTTGGCTTTTTAATGTCATCATCATCAAATTAACATTTAATATATAGCATCAAAAAAAATTTTTATTTTAAAAAAGTGCTTTTCTTTAGAATTATTTTTTTTTTTTTTTTTTAAAAAAATATATATATCGGTGTGTATATATAATATATATATGTATAATTAATTTTTAATTTAATTTAATTTTCCTAATTTTCTAATTTTATACATTCTCATTCACTCACACTCACATTTCAAAATTTTTTATAATCTAAAAAAAAAATATGTTATCAATAGATATCATATATAATTTAGTGATCACAATTTTCATTATTATATTATTAATTTAATATTTTTTTTTTGTAAATACAAATAAATATAAATATAAACATATATATCAAATATCACATATATATAAAATTTAATCGTGATCTTTATTTATTTTTTGATAAAATATTTATTTCTTTGTATACAATATATTAATTATGATGCGTACATTAGATTCCCTCAATTATAATTCGTTTTTCATTATTATTTTGTCTTTCAATCACATGTCCAATTTTATAAATCTTGGTATCACTATCAGATTCTTGAAGTTGATCTATAACTTGACTTTCATTTTCAGATGATACAATCAACACCATTCCAATTCCACAATTGAACGTTCGATATAATTCATCTATTATTACAACATAAATAATTACTTTTAAAATAATAACAACAACAACAATAATCTAATTCATGTAAATATAATAATAAATTATACCTGATGGTATATTTCCATTACTTGTCAGCCATTTGAATACTTGAGGTAATTCCCATGATTTTGAATTTATATTTACACCAAGATTTTCAGGCAAAACTCTTGGTATATTATCCACAAAACCACCACCAGTAATATGAATCATCGCTTTAACAAGTTTCTTTTTATTTTTAATCAATGGTAATAATTGTTTAACGTAAATTTTGGTTGGTGTAAGAAGACTTTTACCTAATGATGTTTTTGAATCCCATGGACATGTTGATTCATATTTTAAATTCTTTTTTGTTATAATCTTTCGAATCAATGAAAATCCGTTGGAATGAATTCCTGAAGAAGCTAGTCCAATAAGTATATCGTTAACCTTGATATCTGACACACGTGGTAACAGATTTTCACGTTCTACAGCTCCAACTGCAAATCCTGCCAAATCATACTCTTCTAATAATTTTAATAGTGTATTACGTATAACACGAGAATATAAATGGTTAAATTAGAAAAAAAAAGTAAAATTATATATATATATATAAAGATATGTGTGTTAAACTACCATCTTTGTAAATTCCTGGCATCTCTGAAGTTTCACCTCCAATTAAAGCACATCCAGATTCATGGCATCCGTTAGCAATGCCTTCAACCACATTCTTGGCAACATCAACATTTAATTTTCCACATGCATAATAGTCAAGCAAAAATAAAGGTTCAGCGCCTTGAACAATTAAATCATTAACATTCATTGCGACCAAATCAATTCCTAAAAGAAAAATAATAATAATAACAATTAAATAAAAATTCAATTATTCTCCTTTTATTTTTTTTTTTTTGGAGAGGAAATGCCAACTAACCAATTGTATTATGAATTCTTGTTTCTTGCGCAATTTTCAATTTAGTGCCAACACCATCTGTTGTGGCTATTAATATTGGATCTTTAAAGCCTGTAGCCTTTAAATCAAACAAACCACCAAATCCTCCTAGCTCACAATTGGAACCAACTCTTTCAGTTTTCTTTACCAGTGATTTAATTTTTTGAACGAGCAAATTTCCTGAATCAATAGAAACACCAGCAGATGCATATGTCATTACCTCTTCACTGTTAGCAGATGGATTGTTCGAGATATGTTTAAAAGCACTAAGAAAAGAAAAAAAGTAATTTATTTACAAGTCATAAATTAATCTCTTTATTATATATATATAATATAATATAAATTTATGTCAAATAATTTATAATAATTACCGATGTGCGATGTCTTTTCTATAATACATATTTTCAAAATTAATATTTTTTAAATCTTTATATGCTTTATCAACCGCATCTCTTAATGTTGAAGCAACTCCAGTAACTGCTAATACACGTCCACCAGAAGTAACTAGTTTATTATTTTTTCTAATTGTACCAGCATGAAAAATTAATGTGTCTATTATCAGTAAACAAATAAATGAATGGATGAATGTTTGAAACAAAAGATTGTTAGTGATTAGTGATTAGGTGTATCTAAAAAATCATTTCCATGAAATAATTTGGTTTTCATTTTTACCAGATTGAAGATTTTGAAATGTAATTTCTTTCCCTTTAGCATAACTACCAGGATAACCACCCGATGCTATAATAACAGTCGCAGAATGTCCTGGTTTGATATTGATCTTAATCGAATCCAATCTACGTTCAATACATGCCTATAAATTGAATATCGATTCTTATTAAATTTATATATATATGATTTTTTTTAATTTTCAAAAAAATTGTTTTTAAAGTTTTTATGTTCACCAACCATCATTATTTCAGCTAAATCAGTATCATCACTCAATAATGGCAAGACTGTTTCTGTTTCAGGATCTCCAAAACGAACATTATATTCTAGTACTTTAGGTCCATCTCCAGTTACCATCAAACCAGTAAAAAGCATGCCAACAAATGGATAACCTGATAATATCTTGAAATATATAAACAAGAAATTCTGCGATGCAATAATTTCAAAAAAATCAAGATCATTAAAAAAATATTTATATAATAATAATAAATAATATTCCTAACTACCATCATGACGCAGTCCATCAATAGTAGGTTGAAGTATTGTAGAATTTATTTGCTGTAAAAGTTCTGGAGTTGCAATAGGAGCTGGACAATAACAACCCATTCCACCAGTATTTGGCCCCTATAATAAATATATTCATTAGTAAAAATCACATATTACTTTTTTAAAAAAATTGATTACTACTTATTTACAAAAGAAAAAGATTTTAATATATATACCTGATCACCATCAAAAATTCTTTTATGATCTTGTGCAGGAGGAAGAGATACTATGGTATATCCATCAGAAAAAGTTAATATACTCAATTCTTGTCCATCAAGAAATTCTTCAATGACAATTTCGTCGCCTTTAAACAAAAAAAAAGACCAAATATAAAAAATTATAATGTTGTTGTTGTTATTATTGATTAAAAAAAACAATTCTAAATTTCAACAACATTTGTCAATCTGTGATAATTTACCAGCAGAGCCAAAAATCCTATCCACCATCATTACTTTTAATGCATTTAATGCATCTTCTTTATTTGTAGGAATCAAAACACCTTTACCACCGGCAAGACCAGAAGCCTTTTTTTATAGTTAACAATGGTGTTAATAAATTAATATTTTTTAAAAAAATCAATTTTATTAACGATTTAAACCGAGCATAAACATTATAAGGAGTTTTTAAATTATTTTCTTGGGCCTCTCTAACTATTTTTTCGTAAACTTCTTTGGTACCATATTCTCATAAGCAACGAAATATTTCGGCTAATTTGTCTGATACCAGCCAAAAAATAAGTAAAGTTGTTCCGATAAAATTATTACTTACCTTAATTACAATATTATGTGAAATAGATTCTAAATAATCTTTTGCCTTTTCGTAATTTGAAAAATTCTATAGTAGTTGTAAAATAAATCATAATAAATATTTATTAATAAAAAGACTTTTAGGAAGAATACTTGAATAATAACCTTATATGCAGCTGTAGGAATTTTATGCCTTTCCATGAAATCTTTTGCAAAGGTTTTAGAGCCCTCCATCATAGAAGCTTTTGTTGATGGTCCGAAACATGGAATACCAACTAGACCCCCAAAAAAAACACTCGATTGTTAATTAAATATTTCAAATGATCAAAGAAAAAATATTAAATTTTGTCAACTCGCCTTTTTTAAAAGCCGATTCTATGCCATCAATAATTACTTGTTCAGGTCCCGGTACAACCAGATTAATCTTATGTATATATATATATATATAATATAAAACTTGTAAATAATCAAGCGATAATTTTAAACGTGTGATAAATGAAATTTATAGGTTTTATTTACATTATTCTCTAATGAAAACTTTGTTAAATTTGCAAAGTCACTAATATCAATGTTAACATTAAAAATTTTATTATTTCCTATTTCTGTTCCTCCATTCCCTATTGAAATTTTTTTTTTTAATATTAAAATATAAAAAGTGAAAAAACAAATAAATATATTTTAAATATATTATACCTGGAGCAACATAGATCTGTTCAACTCTTGAAGACTGAGCAAGTTTCCAAGCAATAGAATGCTCGCGACCTCCAGAGCCAATCAAAAGGACATTGAGTTTTTCTAATTCCACAGTATATATACAAGTATCATTAATAATGCCTAAATTTAATCAGAATAAAAAAATCATAATTTGATTGAAAAAAAACCTGTTGACATTTTATTTTAATATTATAATCAAGTATCAAGTTTTTAAATTTTAATCTTTTTTTTTTAATCAAATCACTACGCCAAGTACATCACATGATGGTACAGTGTAACACCGTTTCTATATATTCGATAATGAGCGAGTAGTATTATTGAACACTATTTGCATGTTATAGGTAATGGAGTTGGGGTCCTCTAGTCGATGTAAAGATTGGAATTGGTCAAAAGACCCCCATTTAGTCAACTATTAGTTGGTCAAATTTTTTTGGTTAATCAATCAATGTCCAATTATTCATATATATATATAACTATTGTCTTTACTTTTTGCTGTCCAGAGGTCAATTATTACCGTAATATAATTAATTACATGACGGATGATTCAAGGTAAATTTGAAATTCTAGCTTGTATTAAATAGTATATATTATTTACACCCCAACCTTATTATTACGGACAAGCAAAACAAAAACGGTTAATAAGAGATGCTAACGGAATTGATAATTACACAGTCATTCATTACCTTTCAATTTAATTAAGAGAATCCTGCTTATTCATTACCTTGTACAATCAAACTATAATATAATAATTTATACATTACTTTTTGTTTTTACAACTCTGAAACATTATATGCATTTAAAAGATATTAGATGTAGATCCAAAATATCATTAACCGTTCGTTATCTAACTCTTTTTGTTTTTCAAAATATCTCTCCATACAAAACTATGTGCTGCGTAATGATGTATAACGAAACTTTTGACTTTAGTCACCGACGCAACTAAAGTATTGACTAAAGGTAGTTTCTCACCAGGGTCATTTTGACGATTTGACTAAGGTAAAAGCTCTTGACGTAAGTAGAAGCTCTTGACGTAAGTAAAGATTGATACAAGTAAAAACACTTGAAATAATGATAATGTGGATCCCGGGGATGAATAAAGAATTATTATATCATTGTATGTATATTGCAAGAAGAAAAATTATCGTGGAAGTTATAATTTGAATTAGAAATTTTACTTGATTAAACTATTTACTATCCTTTTATTATTACACAATCAAATTGTCTTTACATACACATGAGTTGTGTTAAATTAATATTTTTGACTTTTGAAGTTAACTACTACACGTAATAGCGATACGCAATAATATTAATAATGTGCTTGAGCTGTCTTTAATGTCTGAGTTTGAAGCAATATAGATCGATCAATATTTGGTAATGACATTTGCATAGCACATAAGACAGGTTTTAGTACATATTTTTGTAAGTTTTAATTTCGTTTTCTATTTTTATCTTCAAAGATTTTTTTTTTATTGTTGAATCATGATAAATTGATTGATGAATGCAATTTTTTCCTTATCAATTAATCCTTTTTAAAGGCAATCAAATATAAAAAACATTGTACGAAAAAAATTTCTCGTTACACGTTACTCAATTCTCCGCAAAAATCATTAAACACCAAGTCGAATTTTATATTTTTATATTTTATATCATGTCATTTAATAAACTATTATCATCGTTATCATCGGAAAGAAAGAATTTCGTGTACAAAATTAATGGTGGAATGCATAATAATGCTAATGCTAATTCTGATGGAGAAAGTAGAAAAGATTATTTTTTTTCATTAGTTAAAAAAAACAAGGAGCTTTTTGAAAATGAAAAAGAATGGTGTAAGGAAAAGTTGATTTATGAGTTTGAATTACAGAATGCAAGAAATAAACAGGGCAAACCAAAAGAATGTAACAAGTGTAAATTGACAAGATACTCTGATAGGTTCTGTGAAGGATGTATTAATTTACAATTACAGAGTCTTTTCACCACTTGGACATCTGGAAATAACATAATTGATGATTTTATTCAACAATGTCAAATGAAATCATCTCTGCCAGCCTACATTTTAGAATGGATACCTTTGAGCAATTTTATGATATAACAAAGTTGACAGAAGGCGGATTTAGTTCGATTTTTACTGCTACATGGACAAGAGGAACTATTGTTGATTATGACGAAAATAAAAAGGAATTTAGTTATTTTGGAGGTAGAGGTAAAAGAGTAATATTAAAAAAGTTTAAATGACTCAAGTAATCCAGGAAAAGCCTTTTTTGATGAGGTTGGTAGTTGTCATTTAAAACAATGCTGTATTATATAATACTAATTGATTTATATTCAATAGGCAATGAATTATTGTAAAATTAAATCAGAGTTGATTGTTGATTGCTTTGGTATAACTAAATTCCCAGATAATGGAAATTATGCAATTGTTTTATCTTATGTTCAAGAGGGAAATTTAAGGGATTATTTAGAAAAAAGTCATTTAACATTAAAAGACAGAATTACAATCTTTTATTATTTATGCTATGCATTAGATGATATACATCAAAAAGATTTAATCCATTGTGATTTACATAGTGGTAATATACTTGTGAAAGGAGGTAATTGTTATATTACAGATTTAGGATTATGTGGACCAATTGATGAAATGTCTTCAAATAAAGTCTATGGAATTGTATCATATGTTGCACCTGGGCTACTTAGAGGCAAAATTAATACAAAGAACACCAAAAAATCAGATATCTATAGTGTTGGGATGCTAATGTGGGAAATATTTGCAGGCCATCTACCATTTAATGATAGAGCTCACAATCATTGTTTGATTTTTGATATATGTGAAGGTTTACGACCACCAATACTACCTGGAATGCCTGATGATTATGTGCAAATGATGCAGAGGTGTTGGGATGTGGATCCATCGAAAAGACCAACTAGTAGAGAGCTTCTGGGCTTTGCTAGAAATAAACATGATGAAATTATTAAAAATAATAATGGTAATAATACTACTAGTAGTGGTAGTGGTGCTTCGCAACAAGTACACAAATCACATCCAGATGCATATCATAAAAGTAGAATCTTAGATGAAGAGATTGCTAAATCTAAAAGCTTGAAAATTTATACAAGTAATGATAGTTCGTTGAATAATCTTGATTGTGATTCTTTCCTCTAAATGTTAACAAAGGTAAATAAAATTTCATTATTAATTAATTGGAAATTACTATCCATTATTAACAATATTAATTAATTAATTAATTAATTAATTAACATTAGGTTCTAGTAACAATAGTAATTTAATCTCCACTATAAATTTATTATCTTATTTTTATTTATCTTTTATTTCATCCTTATTTTATTTCTTATCTTGTAACAATATTTTGAAATAAACTTTTTACAATTTTTCGATTATTGTTAAATGGTGATATTGCAAGGTATCATTTCGGTTAATTAACAATTATGGCTTAATTTTTAGGCTATTCTTGTCATTTTAATTCACAATAATTTGGTGCTTGTTAATTAATTAGTTTACGACTCTTTCTTGAACCTGTGAGCACACTTAATAGTACCAGATAACTGTAAATAAATCAAGATGGCCCTTTGCAATGCTATAAAGTCCCTTTATTCAATTTGTTTCAGTTGTTTACATTTATTGGCCAATTGCAAACTTGCTTTGGTTTACGTGCAAAACACTCCAAGTAACTTGTTTAACAGCCTTACATTTTATGATTACAACAATACTACCATATTTCCGATTAACCTTTGCCTACTCACTAAAGCAGTTTACGTTACTAATCATTGTTAACACTCACTAGGTAAGCAACATTAGTCCTAACCTTACTTGCTTGCTACTAAAGTAAATAAATATGGCTTTTTACCAAAGCTCCACAATTGTTACCCTTTACAGGCACTAACTACACTTGTTTCTTTTATCAGAGAACTTTAAACAAAAGAAAATAAAGACAATATTTTTATTTTTAAAAGTTTATTAACGATTAATTTTATTCAATAAAAATAATGATTATATCAGAGTTTTATTTTATTAGAATGTATTATTTTCCTCTGTGAGGACCCGAAGTTATGCTTTTTCAAGCAAAGACCAGAAGTTATCCTTAATGAAATTTTCACTACAACAAGGATAAAAAATAAAGATGCAAAGTAACTTGATCAATCAATTATAAAAGGCTTTTGCGTAAAATTTTCATTTGATACACTAAAAGTACTGAATTCTTAATTGATGATTTTATCATGTATTGGTATCATGTTATCAATATTAATACATAAAATGAGTGTGTGGGAACTGAATTTATACTAGCAAAAGAAAAACTTAACTCTTTGGGAATAACTCATGAAACAAAGGAGAGATTAGGATATACAAGAAAAAAGGGAAATATATATATTTATAAGTTTTTTTTGTAAGATTTTATATTTTATTCACCTTTAAAGCAATTTTACTTGCATCATTTTGACTTAATGGTAGCGAATTTGACGTAATAATTTTACAACTGTGGTAACATTTCGTCAAACAACATTAGTTCGGAGCATCACATTAGCACTAGATGAGAAGTATCGCATATTATCATGCATTCATGATTAATTATGCAATCTTTAATAAATAGACTATTTATGGCCAGATGGTGCATTGATCAAGTAGTCTAATAAATTACCACAAAAACATATATAAATAGACACGCTATCTCCCAAAAATGCAAAAAATGGTGCATTGGTTTTGCTTTTTACGTTGCATTCTAATTCGAGGGTCAAGGTATGTAGTGTTAAAATGGTGTTATATATGTAATTCGGCTTTACACGTTACATTAAATGCGAGGTACCTATATATTCGTTCGGAGCATCAACATTAACCAGTCATATTTTTATTCGTTGCGTTGAGCAAAATTTAATAAAAGATCCTTTGCAAAGAAGAACCCTTATGTGAATCAAAAGTCATTTACGAATTTCGATCGTTAAAAAATCAACCAAACTTTTTTTTCTATTTAAAAAAAAAAGATCTTTTTGTCCTAATTTCCTCATGTTTATTAATAGGGTATCCGATTCGTGACATTATTTGGATTTCTACGTAACGTTGAGGTATATATTATAAATGGGAGTGCCTAGCATGTTGTGTAGGGCCTAGCTGGTAACGTCTTTGGGCACCAACAGATTTAACCAAGATATACCTAAAACAGATCGCCTAGAATGAATAATAACGGTAAAGAGGAGGATAATCTGAAACGTGTAGTATAGGACTATAGTATTCGCCTAAGACTAGCGATAGGTGTGGTTGTTTTTTTGCCAGATGATATCCGACAATAGCAATGGATCCACCAAAGCTATATCTGTAGATGAAATTTGGTACGGTGAATGTATTTTATTGGCAGGACTGGATTAAGGCTAACTTTGCCTTGCGGGTACGCAAATTGGGTTAGTACATTCTGGTACAGTCAATATTGTATGAGGTAGCCAGAGGCTCGGAAATGGGTCGCTTCGAGAACGTTGCGACGAGGTCTGAAAAAATTACCATTCTGACCTCTCACAGCTAGTGTCGACGGGACTTACTTAAAGCACCCATAACACAAGATGGATACCAGAAACCAAAAAATTGGTCTAGTTTGAGATGAGAGTTGAAGGGTAATGAAATCATTTTGATCGAGATTACCCGTATTATGGGAAGACGTTATAGCACCAATAACGCGCGTGCCTTGTAGCATTGCCAAGTGTCAGTATTGTGGTTTAACCATGTATACGCCAATGAAAAAGCAGTGGTAGATGTGGTAAGCATGTCTAAGTCGGCTGTGAAATGGGACCGGGGAGCAATCACCCTGGGGCTTTAAACACGATCAAAATAATGGAGTCGAAAGTATAACAGTGCAAAATAGGATGACGTAATTTCGGAATGAGGGAGCTGGGAAGCTGAGCCAGAAATGGCGATAGGACCGAGCATGAGAAACTACGATGCTTGACACCAAAGAAAATACATGGATTTACACTTAAGAACGACAAATTATTTTGGATTAAAAATGACATGGAGAAGAAAGTTAGTTATAAGAAGAAATAAGTTGAAGTATTATTCGATTACTTGTGTTACCGGAATTAGAATTTAACGATTTTTATTGGTCGAAACATTTTAATTCCGAGTTAAATTATTTTACATTTCATTATTTATCATAATTATTCAATGTTATTTAGTAAGAATTAGTGTGTCTAAAACACATAATTGTGGTAAAAGCACTCATAATTTTGAATAGAATTAATTGTATATAAGAAATTTGAATTTTATATACTTGTAAAGTAACTTTGTAATAAATTAACTTATAAATAAGTTAATAAATTTGTTTCGACTAAATAAACTAAACAAACCGTTTTCTCAAATCTCTAAAACAAAATTATTCGTTAATAAAACTAATTCGTTGGTAATAGCCAAATCATAAATTTGTGTTGTTATCATCAATTAATATACTCTTCCAAAAAATAATTGGTGACAGCTCGGTGCGGGTTGTGTGGAATTTCACAAAGTGATTATATAATCTACGGATTCGTATTTCTTTATTTTTAAATTATCTTGTTTTTCTTTTCATTTATTTTCTTTATACTTTCATTATTTATTCACCTTACAAGTTTAAAATATATTACACTTTCTGTTAAAAATCAAATTGTAAATGCAATTAAAAGAATTCAATTCAAAACGTATTAAGTCAGAAACCTTTGTTTAAGTATATCAACAAATTTTAGAAGGAATGATTAGAGACCCACAATTAATTGATCTGGTCTTCAAATATTTCTACAGAAATCCTCAACAAATATTCCAGTTACACTACCAATCAAGATTAACTGAAAATCTTCATAAAAATAAACTTGTTACTCTTGTGGAGTAAATGGACACATTGGGAATATTGTAAAGTCCAAGGACTAACAAAAGTGGGAGAAATAGAATTCATCTTTCAGAAACCACTTTGTTGCAAAAGAAAAGAGCATTCAAAGGATGATTGCAACAATTTAATTAAAAAGGAGAATATTTATCCCGGAGGAAATTTCTTTGAAGATATCCCGGACGATTTGCCATATGAAGAAGATCTTATGAGGATTAGTCGAATTAACTTTGATACTATAATAATAACTCATTTTCATCAGGACCTATCTTGCCCTGATTGTAACTCATTACGTCAAAACTTCCCACCACAATTCCTTATATTTTGGATAACTGATAACTATCTGGTCATAAGCTGTACTTCATACACCCCCTTTGCCTTTGAGCATTTATTAATATAACACAATCCAGAACAAATTCGGAATCTATCTCAAGTATTATTAATTAGCATTAGATATAGGGAGTACCCTGAGAGTTTAAATTTATTATATCAAGATTATGTAACAAGCTAGACTAATCTCTTTACATAGCGCCAAAACGAAATTATAAGTTCTACGGAAGAAACAAACGAAGAAAGTAATAATCCAAGTAGTAATTTGGAAATAAGTAAAAACTCAAATAGTGATTCAGACGAAGATTCTACAAATGCACATCAACAAGTGGTAAATGTTATAGTACCACAGCCAGCAACTGCACCAGAAATTAACATCCAGATTATACCAAGATCCAATTACCTGGATAGAGGAAATGGAACAAGCCTTTGTTGAAAATAGAGTAGCAAATGATTGGAAAGTAGCAGTAGAAGTACCAAGATTAAAAGCAGGAGTAGTCACTTGGTGGAATCAAGTTCAAGGTAATATCTAACACTGGAATGATCAAACTAACAATGGTACAATAACTGTAAGTTTTGTTCAGAATTTCCAAACCAGATATAGGACTAGAGCTATGGAAGAAGGATGGGCAGTTGAATTAGAAAACGAAGACAATTACCTGGGGAAACTTGTAGCATTTATGCCAAACATTCCTGGGATCAAAGTGCAGATCAACAATTACAAGGATTAATTAATCAACTGACTAACATGATGGTGTAGATCCCTATAAAATTTGACACAGAAAAGGTACAAGAATACATAATTATGCTTATAATATATGCTAATACTAATACAGAAGAATATGCACAGAAATCATACACATTTTAAAAGTCATGCAATATGTGAGATTTAAAAAGCGCGTATTTTGTGAATAGTTTCTAAATTTGTACTAGTTATATGACAAATAATTTAATAACTATTTTGATCATTTTCCAATAAACAACAAAGGAATATTTTCAATAAGAAACACATTGTAATTGTGATTTTTGGCTTTCAAAAAATTGAGTTCAACAAAAGGTTTGTTTTTAGCACTTATAATCTCAGCTCTGCTCAGTAAGGCAAAGAATTGTAATTATAATTTAACCAAGCACAAGAAGGTTAGTGTGTAGTCAGCCATGTGCAACAATAATTTGTTAATGTCAGAAATCAGGGTTCAACTGCAGCTGCAGTTTAGATTTTTTCTAACACATACACCAATTTTATTTTTTTTTTTAATGTTAATATAATAATTAAACTTCCATTTTTTCTTTAATACTCTTTGCATGATCAGAAAAAGCCTTCCTCATCTCTTTAACAAATTTTACAAGATCACGTGTTTTATTTAACTTCATCAAACTTTCATTCAACCCCTTTACCATTGGACTACAATTCAACACTATATAAGTTATAAAACATTTTGATTAGATAAAAAAACTATAAACAATTAAATAAATAATAAATTAAATAAATAAATTATACACCTTTATAATCATCATCAGTAACATTTAAAATAAAATGACAAGTACGGGAAGGTTCATTCTTATAAATACATGAAAATTCAAAAATGACTAAATCATCTATACAATAATAATAACAAAGAAATATTAATAATTATTGAATCATAAATAAATGAATAGACAATGTTAAATACCTACCTGGTGAACCTTGTAAACCTTTAACATCAATTGCCAATTTATTCTTATACAATTCTAATTCTGGTTCATTTTTTGCAAAATTTTCCTCCAATTTTTTCTTTTTTACTGATAAAGCTTTTTATTTTTAATAATCATCATTTGTAATTAATATGTGTATGTATGTGATGATCAAAAAAGTATGATAATAACAACATTCCTACCATCCTTTTGTTTTTGAACTTTTTTCCTAATACTTTCAACTTTTTTTACTAATATATTTTTATGATTATTTAATAAATTTTTACGATTTTCTAATTCTTTGACTTCTGATTGAATCCTCTTTTCCTCCTTGGATTCTTTTTCCAATCCTTTTTTTTATTATAAATATGCATGAGTGTAAATACAAATGTTTTTATTATTGTTGCTATTATTATTACTAACTTTCAGATATTTCCTTTTTCTTTTTTTCATATAGTTGATATTCTTCATAAATCCTTTTCAAATTTGCTAAAGTTATTTATTTAAAAATGAAAATTTAAAATTTTATTTATATTTTATTTCCCAATATATATAATCTTCATACATACCTCTATCAGCGGAAAGCATATCTTGCCATTGTTGTTTAGAATTGGATAAATTGAATTTTGCATTTTCTGTAATGATATCAAGCTCTTCTTGAAATAATTTATCTTTATTTATCAACTCTTCAATATAGAAATTTACTTTATTGATTGATAAATGACTAAAATTGTTGTTGTTGTTGTTAATATTGTTGTTATTAATATTGCTGTTATTGATATTGTTGTTATTAATATATTCTTCATTAAATGTATCAGTAAGAAAAGTTTTAAAAGGTGTAGAATTATTGTTGTTATTTGTTCTACGTGATGGTGTATACATATTTCTTATATTTTAAAAAGGATTTTTTGGAACAAAAAAGTCGCGTTTTTTAAGATTAAAACAACACAATTTTGAAATATTAATCACATGACCTACTTATTTCCTGTTTAAATAAATACATATTATAATTACATAATTTTTCAATTGATCAACATCTAAAGTTTTTTTTTAATGATTATCGTTATTATTTAATGGCAAACAATTAATAATAATAGTGAATAATTATATGTAAGAAAGGGAATAAATATTAATATTAAAAAAAATTACTTTATTATTCACTAATAATAAAACTTCTTGATATATTTAATCATGTTATAAAGAAAATTATCTGTCACCCAGCCGGCCAGTTCTCATTTTTTTTAGTTAATATTAGCATTAGCAAAATCTTTTTTTTAAGACGATGACAATCACACCAAATAATCCACCAAAATCTCCCTTGAGATCCATAGACCAAGAAGGCTTTGGATATACAACTGCAACATATAGGTGGCCAATAATTATCACAAAAACGATAGATGATATTTATAAAACAAGATATGAGCTTGATCCCATAAAAGACAAAGAAAAAAGTAACGAGGCAAAAGAAATTATGAATTCATTGGGTACTATGAAATATGAAATGCAAAGAAAAAGGGTCTTGACGTATGTCAATTTTATTATATTTTTTTGGGGTGAAGGTTTCTACATTTTTTCATTTATTTACTTTATTTGATTTAAAATTATTATATATATATATATATATATTATGTACCAAAGTCCTATTGAAGATGACGGTGAATCAGATGTAAAAAGTTGGAATGATACTTTGAATACATATTTTCATGGAGAGAATTGGTATTCAGCAACTTGGTTATTTGTAGAGTGTTATTTATATCGAAGAATGCATTCAGCTTTTGCTAAATCAAAACATTGGAAAAATTATGATCCATTTTTTCGTCAGAAAGAAGACACATTTAAAGCATCATTTAAATCAGTAGCTAGACTGGCAAAACGTTTTGAAGAATTATTAAGCAAACGAGTTATTATCGATGTGAATAATAAAAATCCTAAAGATGATGATAATCAAATTCTATTTTATGAATTAGTTCAATTAAGCTTATGGGGTAACGCCACTGATCTGTCACTACTTACAAATCTTACTCACGATGATATTTCAAATTTACAAAATTCTGACTCAAAAAATCTTGAAAAATATATTTTGGATAACAATTTGAAAGAGGCTTGGAATAAAATTTCAAATCATCAAAATATGAGAATTGATTTTATTTTAGATAATGCAGGGTTTGAATTATATGGAGACTTGATATTTGCTGATTGGTTGATTCAATCAGGCCATGCCTCTGAAATTCATCTTCATGTAAAAAAAATTCCATGGTTTGTGTCAGACACAACTGAATTCGATTTCAAATGGTTATTGAATGTACTTAAAGATAGCCATTTCTTCTCATCGCATTCAACAAGTGTTGAAGAAAATAATCATAATTATCTTCAATCTTTAACAGAGTTGTCAAATAGATGGGAAGATTATTTGAAAAAACAAATCTGGGTAATTAAATCTGATTGGTTTTGGACATCACCGTATTCTTATTGGCATATTAAAGAAATTGCTCCTGATTTATTTAATGATTTGAAAAATTCATCTTTAATTATCTTCAAAGGAGATTTAAATTATAGAAAATTGGTATATGATTGTAAATGGCCAACTACAACATCATTCAAAGAAGCTATTGGTCCTTTAGCTAATGAAATCGGTGTGCCATCAATTCTAGCATTACGGACTTCTAAAGCTGATGTTATTGTTGGTTTACCTGATGGATTGGAAGAACATTTAAATAATACTGAGAAAGATTGGATGTATTCTGGTAAATATGCCGTTATACAATTCAATGAAGGAACCAAATAAATAATTTCAATTATAAATTTAGAAATAATATTAATTACATGTATAGTAAATATATTTATTTTATTTAATATTGTTTGTACAATATCTACACAATTTTGAGTTGAATATTTTTTTTTTTAATAATATTGATAAACAATAAAGGTTGTAGTATCACCATTTTTATTGGTGATCATTGTAGTTGATATCATATTTTACCTTATTATCACTATGGTTATTATTAACATCTTTCATTTATTTATGATCAACAATTTATAAAGAGTATGGTAAAAATCAAAAAGGCACTATTTAGAAAAGTGACAGGATTTTCCTAATAACAGTATTTCAAATTTTGCTCATTTGTTCTTTAAAGTCTTCTAAATTTATTAATGAATGGGTCTTTCAATAGAAAAACCACAACCAACACTAACGTTGTGTGACAAGTCTTTGACGATATGGGATCTTAGGTAAAGGCTCCAAGGCAAGGCCTAAGTTTTTGGTCATTTCAAACGATCTGAAACGTCAGAGCAAGACGAATACCTAATAGTAGACAGCAGTAGACACCGCGCAAAAAAAATCTAAAGCAAAACACGATTTCCTTTCAGTCAAGTATCTGATTCGCTCAACCCTGACATTTTGAACAAAAATAGATAATTTTTCCAAATAGATATAAATGAGAATTCGCATGATACGGCGATGTAAAAATAACCACAACCTTTTATAATTTTTGGAAAATAAAAATATTTTTTAACGAGTCTTCTTTATAACAGAATGTTTCCCATGCATTCAAATTGCTATAAAAAAAAATATATTACACAATATTAAAAATCCACGAAACATTCTTTTGGTTTGCCCTATTTATTCGTTGCATTGCCTATTTCAAACTCATAAATAAACCTTTCCTTACAATATTTTTTTCATTTTCAGAAAGCTTCTTGTTTTTTTAAACTAATGAAAAAAAATAATCTTTGTTACTTTCTCTATCAGAATTAGTATTAGCATTAGTGTCATCAAGTATTTCATTAATTTTATGTATAAAATCCCTTTTTCTGGTGATAACGATGATAATAGTTTAGCATGTGACATTATAAAATATAAAAATATAAAATTCGACTTGGTGCTTTAATGAATGTGGAGAGAGGTTGTCGTGTTACAAGTGTAAATTGACAAGATACTCTGATAGGTTCTGTGAAGGTTGTATTAGATTACAGTTACAGAGTCTTTTCACCACTTGGACATCTGGAAATAACATAATTGATGATTTTATTCAACAATGTCAAATGAAATCATCTCTGCCCAACCCACATTTTAGAATGGATACCTTTTGAGCAATTTGAAGATATAACAAAGTTGACAGAAGGTGGATTTAGTTTGATTTTTACTGCTACATGTACAAGAGGACAAATAAATGATTATAACGAAAATAAAAAGGAATTTAGTTGTTTTGGAGGTAGAGGGCAAAGAGTAGTATTAAAGAGTTTAAATGATTCAAGTAATCCAGGAAAAGCCTTTTTTGATGAGGTTGGTAGTTGTCATTTAAAACAATACTCTATTATATAATACTAATTGATTTTATATTCAATAGGCAGTGAATTATTGTAAAATTAAATCACCATTGATTGTTGATTGCTATGGTATAACTAAATTCCTGGATAATGGAAATTATGCAATAGTTTTATCTTATACTACAGAGGGAAATTTAAGGGATTATTTACAAAACAATCATTTAACATTAAAAGACAGAATTACAATCTTTAAATATTTATGCTATGCATTATATCAGATACATGAAAAAGATTTAATCCATTGTGATTTACATAGTGGTAATATACTTGTGGAAGAAGGTAATTGTTACATTACAGATTTGGAATTATGTGGACCAGTTGATGATGAGTCATCAAATAAAGTCTATGGAATTGTATCATATGTTGCACCTGGGCTACTTAGAGGCAAAATTAATACAAAAAACGCCAAAGAAACTGATATCTATAGTGTTGGGATGTTAATGTGAGAAATATTTGCAGGCCATCCACCATTTGATGATAGAGCTCACAATCATTGTTTGATTTTTGATATATGTGAAGGTTTACAACCACCAATACTGCCTGGAATGCCTGATGATTATGTGCAAATGATGCAGAGGTGTTGGGATGTGGATCCATCAAAAAGACCAACTAGTAGAGAGCTTTGGGACTTTGCTGAAAATAAATATGACAAAATTTATGAAAATAACAATAGTTTAATAAAAAGATTATTCAAATTTTCTAAAATCAAAAAACATGATTTTAATAATGATAGTAGCAACAGCAGTGGTGGTGGTAGTGATTCGCAACAAGTACACGAATCACATCCAGGTGCATATCATAAAAGTAGAATATTAGATGAGGAGATTGCTAAATCAAAAAGCTTAAAAAGTTATACAAGTAATGATAGTTCATTAAATAGACTTGATTTTAACTCTCTTCTCTAGAATGTTGAAGGTAAATAAAAATTTCACTTTTAATTAATTAATTGAACTTACTATCCATTAATTATTATTAACAATATATTTTTTATTTCTAATAATTAAAGAAAGAATTGATGAATGAGCAATTTAATCTCCTAAATTATTTGTTATAATTATTTGTCTTTTTAATTTATTTTATTTCTTAAAGCTAAATAATAAATTTTTGATTTTTGTTAAATAGTGATATTGCAAGGTATCATTTCAGTTGATACTGATTATTTAACAAGTATGGCTGATTATCAGGAACTCGCAATAATTTGGTGCTCGTCAATTAATTAGTTTACGAATTTACTTTGGTTCCCTCTTTCTTCCACCTAGACGAATCTGTGAGCACACTTAATGGTACTAGATAATTGCAAATAAATAAAGATGGCCTTTTACAAAGCTTAAGGACTTCGATTTATTTCAGTCGTTCGCATTTATTGATTGATTGCAAATTTGCTTTGGTTTACTTGTAAAACAACTCAAGTAGCTTGTTTAACAGCCTTATGTTTTATGATTACATAACACTACCAGTATTTCCGATTAACACCACCAGTTAACCAACGTTAATCATAACCTTGTTTACTCACCAAAGCAAATAACTCCATAATTGTTACCTTTTGCCAAGGAACTACACTTGTTTCTTTTATCAAAATGCTTTAAACAAAAAATAAAAACAATGTTTTTTATTTTAAAAGCTTATTAACGTTTAATAAAAAATGATGATTTCTATCGCAGAGTTTTATTTTATCAGAATGTTAATTATCCTCTCAAGGACCAGAATTTGTTCTTCGTTGATCACTACAATAAGGATAAAGATGGAGATGGTTTATTATTGCAAAGTAACTTGACCAATCAATATTGATATTATAAAAAGCCTTCGCGTAAAATTTTCATTTGATAATAATTACTATACACTAAAATTAATTGACCCTGAAACATAAAGGAAGTCATTAATATTAATATAAGACATGCTCGAGTTTAGTAGTAAATGAATGTGTGGGAACTGAATTGTATTCAGCAAAAGAAAAACTTACTTGTCTCCTGATGAAACAAAAGAGAAATTGGGATACACAAGAAATATAAAAGAGACCTGGAATATATATATTTATAAGTTTTTTTTGTGAGCTTTTATATTTTATTAGCCTCTAAAGCAATTTTACTTGCATCATTTTTGACTTAATGGCAGCGAATTTGATGTAATATTTTTACATTCTGTCAAACAACATTAATCGTGACTCTAAGCAAAAATTCCCAATTGCATCATTTGCGTAGATGATATTTCTTTTTATGATTATTTAAATCTTGACAAAATTGATTCAATATTGGTATTGAAATTGTATTTTGGTAATGTGATCCAGTCATTTTTGGCAAAAAGACAATGAATCCAAGGTGGTAAAAGGTTTATTACAATAACACGCTAGTAGATCATTTCACTCCAGCATATTATGAGTGTATAATGGTGTTTTAATGTTCATAACGATATACAGTAAACAAAAATATCTCACTAACTAGTGATTAGAATTTTATGAATTAGACATCTCATCAAGAGAATTCAAATGGTAGTTGTTTTTATCCAAAACAGACAGATATTGACTGAGTTGTGGTAATTTCAGTTAATTTGATACGTTTTTTCTCATGATATGTATACTTTATTAATTCATATGGAATTTCCTTATCTATAGATCAAATACATGTAATGTTAATTTGAAATTTGATACATTTTTTCTCATGATACGGAAAATTGCGAATTTCCGTATTAGTAATACATTTGATACCATTGTCCTTAATTTGTAAAGAGTTAACAAATAAATAAATTGATAAATTGCATCACCCAAGTAATGATAATACCAGGACCATGCAGAAATGAAATTTAAGAAATCAATTTTGGAAAAAGCCACATAATTGGCAGAGTTAGAAAATAAACCCTTGGTGCGTCCCCGCTTGTTCCTTGTGCATGAATTTGAAATCTGTGTGAATTTCGTACCAAAACTCTCGCCCCACTCACACAAATTTGATCCCATGCAGAATTGTTCCCTAAAAGTCATTGAAAAAAAAAATAAAATGAGCAAATCTGATATTGATGATTACATGTGTCAGATTTGATTAAGTTTCCTCTGCAACACGCAGTTGCATGCTAAATGCTATTGCAACCTATAACTGCGGAGCCGCCCCTACCACAGTTATGAAGCCCCCCGCATGTTGGAAGACTTCAGACAAGTGAAAGGCTTTAACAGCCTCCTTGACAATAATGCCAATAATGCAATACCATCATGAACCTGAGATCTATGTCGCCTCCCTCTGAAGTTCAATTGCATTTATATCCTAGGAGGGCAAGTCAGATTAGCCTTATGTGCTCAAGGAATAAGAAGAAATGGTTTAACTATAAGCTTCCAGTAATCAAAATTGTATATTAAATTGTTTGGTGTTTCCGTGTTTCCAAATTGTCCAAGTATCTATGAGATAGAGATCTCTAATTAATATTGATAACAAATAACACAAACAAAACATAATCTTGTGTATTTGCTCTCAAAAATAGTTGTTGTAAAGGATGTTGAATAATTACCTATCATATAAAAGACTACAAGTTTTGCTCCACGTTTATTTAGGCTATTATATAAAAAATAAAGGCATAATAAAACAAATGAGTAAAATTAAAAATAAAAAAAAGACGCGTAATGTTGGTACAAGAAGAATGGTAAATTTCACTTTTTGACATGTCCACATTAAAAATAATATCAAGAAAATTAATTATAAATTATGATGTTTACTAGAATCATCACCATAAACATTCAACAACTGTTCATTTACACATCTCATTAATAATAATATATTACTAATCAATGCGTTATTAAATGCATAAGATTTTATTTTGTCAACAGTGATAGATGTGATATCGTTATAACAAATCATTTAAACTTATTTTTGTGATTGTTAAATGATATTTCCTTTATATTGTGGAATTTTATAAAATTAGATCTTTTTTATTATGGATGTGTTATAATGATTTTTATTTTTTTGCTATATATAATGATGTGGTATAAATAAATAAAATAAATACATGTATACTGTTGGTGACGAAATCATCCAGTACAAATGTAATTGAAACTTATCATTGTGATCTATAAAAGCGGTGGTTCTATTTTACTTACCCTTAAGATTTCAATTAAATATTACTGTAATTTACTATTCATGTTATTTTTTGTAAAATTATTTTTGCTTATCAAATAAAGTTCCAATTTTACAAATATAAGTGCTTTAATTAAATCAAGTCATTAATACTTATCATGTTAAAATCTATTTTTAAAAAAATATGGGCAGTTATAGCTTCTTCCTTTTGGAATTGGACCATTGATAACATCCAACGAAATTTTTTTTCCTGTCAATTTTGCTAACCTCAGTCTAGAATACGATCAATCAGAGCTTTCATAAAATTAACATACCAATAATATGTGGGTGTTCATATTTTTGTAATATAAAAAAAAGGTTGATGATACTTTATGATTTATGCTTTTTAAATGTTGTTCTTTTCAGATAGAGACGATCTCCAAATTTCCCTACAAAAAAAATTGGAATAATAATCACAAAAATGGTAAAATAATTATATTATTTTCTAATGCAAATTGACATTTATATGATTTAACTTTTCTTCGTTTCCTTTTTTTCAAAATTAGTTACCACTTTCTTTATTAAACACAGCTCAAGGACACCCAATGGTAAAAAAAATATTTAATAATTAAATATCTATATATGTAATTATTAATAACAATTTTCCTAATTTTATAGTTGGTAGAATTGAAAAATGGAGAAACATTTAATGGGCATTTGGTAAATTGTGATAATTGGATGAACTTGACCTTAAGAGAAGTGATACAAACATCTCCAGTATTTATTTACAATCATTATTAATATTATATATTTATTTGAAGAAATTTTCCTTTGTATAGTAAATCAATCATTATTTATTTCTAGGAAGGAGATCGATTTTGGAGATTACCTGAATGTTATATCAGAGGAAATACGGTATTTATATAACAATCATTGTATTAAAATATAGAGAGGTGAAAAATACTATGATGATAATCAAATTATCTTTACAGATTAAATATCTTAGAGTGCCAGATGAAATTATAGAGATGGTAAGAGAAGATGCAATAAGACAACGTCAAGCTTCTAATATGGGAGGAAGTGGTGGTAGTGGTGGCGGTGGCGGTAATCGTGGTCGTAAGTACATTTAACATATTAATAAATTTATCTCTACAATGATAATTTTTAAAATCATAATAATAAGTGGTATTAATTTTAATTTAGGTGGTGGATTTCGTGGCGGAAACTCTGGAAGAGGTAATTCTTTGAAAAATCATTTCAATGTTTATCATTCGATTAATCATATTAATCATTTATTTAATAACATGTATTTTTAGGTGGTGGAGGTAGGGGTGGAGGTAGAGATGTTAAAGGGGTGAAATCAAAAAAATAATAAAAAAAATATATTAAAAGAAATAAAATACTGGATTTTTTATCTTAACATCATATAAGATCTTAGAATTGTTTTAAATTATTTTCCAACTGATTAATGAAATTTCATAATAAATTCAAGAAATTTAATAATATGCATTATATTATATACAGTGCGCATACACAAAAGAATAATTATAACTATTTAAATAACCTCATTTTCCATTCCTCCTTCTAATAATATTAAAATCATTTCTTTTTACTTGTTTTCTTTTTGATGGTTTCGTCACCAACAAAAATACCTTTTTGATTATAAGGCTCAGGTTTTTTATTTTTACGTATATTCGCAGCAAATAATGTTAATTGTGCATAATCACTTCCAATTAATAATATTTGAGTAGGGTTTAGCACTTCACATTTTATTCCATCTGGAACTTCTAGTTGAATTGGATGCGTGTAACCAACTCTAAGAACCAATTTATCTGATTCCATATTAGCTCTATGGCCAACACCTACAAGTCTTATAGGTATTCTGAAACCTTCGCTGACACCAATAACATAATTTGCTATTAAAGCTCTAGTTGTACCCCACATTGCTCTCTGATGTTCTACGCTCTTACTTTGAATGTCTACACGCAACTTTTTTTCACTCACATCACTATCAATAAAGATAACATCTTGATTTTTGACGCTTTCTAAAACTTCTTTTTTCCTGGCTGATAATATTTCTCTTTTCCGCTTCTCTTCATTTGCAATAATCTCAATTTTAATAAATGGTTTTATTGGCATAGAATGACTACCTAATGGTCCCGATATTGTTAAAGTAGTAGAATTCAAATCAGTCAAAGTTATTGGCTGTAAATTAGGTGTCAAGTCAAGATGTTAAAGGGGTGAAATCAAAAAAATAATAAAAAAAATATATTAAAAGAAATAAAATACTGGATTTTTTATCTTAACATCATATAAGATCTTAGAATTGTTTTAAATTATTTTCCAACTGATTAATGAAATTTCATAATAAATTCAAGAAATTTAATAATATGCATTATATTATATACAGTGCGCATACACAAAAGAATAATTATAACTATTTAAATAACCTCATTTTCCATTCCTCCTTCTAATAATATTAAAATCATTTCTTTTTACTTGTTTTCTTTTTGATGGTTTCGTCACCAACAAAAATACCTTTTTGATTATAAGGCTCAGGTTTTTTATTTTTACGTATATTCGCAGCAAATAATGTTAATTGTGCATAATCACTTCCAATTAATAATATTTGAGTAGGGTTTAGCACTTCACATTTTATTCCATCTGGAACTTCTAGTTGAATTGGATGCGTGTAACCAACTCTAAGAACCAATTTATCTGATTCCATATTAGCTCTATGGCCAACACCTACAAGTCTTATAGGTATTCTGAAACCTTCGCTGACACCAATAACATAATTTGCTATTAAAGCTCTAGTTGTACCCCACATTGCTCTCTGATGTTCTACGCTCTTACTTTGAATGTCTACACGCAACTTTTTTTCACTCACATCACTATCAATAAAGATAACATCTTGATTTTTGACGCTTTCTAAAACTTCTTTTTTCCTGGCTGATAATATTTCTCTTTTCCGCTTCTCTTCATTTGCAATAATCTCAATTTTAATAAATGGTTTTATTGGCATAGAATGACTACCTAATGGTCCCGATATTGTTAAAGTAGTAGAATTCAAATCAGTCAAAGTTATTGGCTGTAAATTAGGTGTCAAGTCATGTTTTATTTCAACCTCTGACGGAATTGTTATAGGTTTACGACCTATGTGAGATTTGTTTGAATGTGAGGTAGAAAAAAAACACTGTTTGATGAACGAAAAAGAAGAAGCATTGTAATTTAATTTTAATTTTTGTAATTTTTGTAATTTTTGTAATAACATTTTTTTCAGTTGGAAGATCCTTCGTGTTATGATCATAAATTAGAATATATAACATTATCATTTATTTATTATTATAATTTCTATAATATAACATATTCATTTTTCGAATGCCAATTCGAGGACCACTTGGTGAGTCAAATAAATAACAATAAATGGTTTGGTGGATGTTTTTTATAATTAATTGGAATTTTATTTTCTTAATTTCCACATTTTTGGAGGAATCTCTAAAATAAACAAACAAACAATCATTAATAACAGAATAAAATATATAAAAACAATCATCATCATTATTATTACTTATTTACTTTGTAAATTTTTAATAGTAGGAATTATAAATGTTGTCAAAGACAAAATACCAAGTAACACACAAATAATAGAGACAATATAATATCCATCTTGATGAACAGTACAGACACCACCTTTCTCTTTACATAGTGATTTTTCTTCTTCAGAAACACATTTAAATACTAAATAAAATAATAAAATGATTAATTTAATAATTTAATATCTAATAATAATTAATAATTAATAATTACCTTCTTCTGTTGAAGTTCTAATTATACATGAAGCATCTGTGAAATAATCAACCGCTTCCAATACAAAGAAACGAGGCCATGTACCTCCAAAATTACTAAATGTTGCCAAAAGCTAACAACAACAACAACAACAATAATTTATATATATATGTTTTTTTATAAGAAAATTAAATTTGAAAAAATACTTACTGTCATGTATGTTCCACCAATCACAGGATCTGCAATTGATGACATAAAAGCTGATATACAAACAAACTGTACAGTACTAGTAATAACAAAAACAAATCATTTAACTAGTATAAATATTTAATTCAATTAATCGATTCAATTTCTTTTCCTCTTACCTTGTAAAAGAACTTAAAACTATGCTTGCAATCACAACATAAAACATACTTGATGAAACTTTGTTATTTTCAGGGAATACGTACACTACCAGCATACCTACAGATGCAAAAAATATACGTCCATAAAATGCATTTATCCACTATAATTAATTAAGATAAATTAATCGTTATTTAAATTATACATATGCATATGTTTTCGTAAAATATTTTATCAAGAAAACAAAAAATCCTCTTTCATACAGGTTTTAATGGTTGTGGTCCATTACTCCATTTAGCTGCATAATATCCAACTAAAATCTGTATTGGAAAATCAATCAATACTGCCAATGCTAAATCTTCTTTACTAAATCCTTTTTCCATTAATTTTAATGCTGTGACAGCTTCATTGGCAATAAATCCAATTTTAGCTGTTAAAAGTACTAAAATAAGTTTCATCATATCTGATCAATATCGATATATCAATATGTCAATATTTATATTTATATAGTAGATATATTAATTATTATGTTAATTATTATTATATTAATTATATGATAAAAAGAAATATAAACTTACGTGGCATTTTACAAATATTCCAAATAGTTTGATAAACAGTTTTAATATCCATTTCATCATCTGAATATGTTGCATCCTTAGTAAATAAATAAATAAATAGGTCAATTAAAACAATAATTAGATAAATAATCTTTATTAATTTTTATCCAAGAGACTCACTTCACTTTTAGCAAATATTAACCAAAGGGTCACTGCAAAATATACAAACGACCAAAAAGTAAGGTATGATCCAAGTGCTAAAATTCCTTCTTCACTTGGTTCACTTCTAAAATACTTGTTACTAAAAATAGTAAAATAAATAGTAAAATTATCAGATTTTTCTTTAATTATTCATTTCACAATCAATAATTGAAATAATAGACC